TATGTCAAAAATACACTCTACTGTCATGCATATGTAAATGGAACAAATTTTTAAAAAGAACATTAAAAATTATCTGCTGTAAGTTCAGAAGTCCCGCCTATTCACAATTACTCTGCTACCTTGATTTCTTGGCTTTGGAACCTCTTTAGAAGGGAATTGGTTGCACACTTGCAAATCTTGGTACGAACATGTATCTGGAGCACACAGTAACAAGAACCTGTAGCTGCTTATCCTTCATATGACAAAGAGCCATGATGAGTCACCTGAGCCCCACGTTGGCCCCCCAAATTTAGACTCTTTGGGTGATGTCATAACATCTCAGAATAGACCAGTGATATCCATGGGAGTCGGAGGAAGGCAATGAAAACACCCAGTGACTGGCAAGAGTTGATCAAATCATGGCAAAGCTGGAGAAACAATAAGATTTCAGGAAGAAATACAATAATATGCTTTAATTCTACTTCATAAAATATAAATCACATAGGTGGCAATACCATTCCACATCTGTCCACCATAAGTATCTGATTCTGCACAGTGGACTATCTCCAAGTAGAAACTTTTCCCTGGTACTTATTGCTGGCAGTTTTATTAATGTTCACTAGCTAAGAATTCTAGCAGAATCAACTCTCTGGTATTCACGATACCTTTGAGATGTCCTTCACATTATGGATGAGATATTAATTTAGTTCCATGACAGTGATCACTCTGAATCATTACCCCACTAATTAATACTCAAGAAATGATGGGTAACAGAGAGTTGTAAACTTGGTAATGTGCTAAGTATGACCAGAAATAAGATTATTAGGTAGAATTTAAATGCTTGGCCCATTACTATCGCTAATAATTTACAATGGAAAATGAGGTTAAAAATACTCATCATAACTTAGTTTAGAAAGCAACGATAACAGATCTTTATAGTGCAATTTATAGTCCATCCAAGGAGAAAGGATTTGGCTTCCTACATAGATACGGCATGATTTAAGTGTCTACTGTCCACAGAATAATATATTTCGATGCTGTCTCTGGTGCAACATGGCATTTATTTTCTCCAGCTTTCTGAACACTGATGAGCATGAAGTCTGGCAATGGGGGAAGGGTCAGAGCTGATACCTGAGCTCTCCTATGAGGACACAATGCTGGCCCTGGCTGGGAATGAGACAGTAGGGCCACCATTGACTTCTGGGCCTCCCTCAAAATCTGAATTTGCAATTTGCTAATTACACTCTTCAATCACCTGGCACTTTTTGTCTTGGGACAAAAGTTCTGAACTAATCTCTTAGATACCCCCAAGGAAAAGTCTTTTGTTTATCATGGAACCAGCCTATACTGAACATATACTATGTTCCAGACACGGTGACAATGGCTAAAGATACAAATGGGGACTGAGACATGACCCCTTTTCTTAAGGGGCCAAGAAACAAATGAAGGAAGTAGACCAACTGGTCACGGAGGTTGGGCAGCATAGAGGTAGAGGAAGGCCCAGTGGGCCCCAAAGTTCTGACATGTGTCCAGGAGGATTTGAGGAAGTGGAAGGTTGAAAACTTTGGTGCCTGAGCCCTAGAGACCTAGATTCAAATCCTGGGTCTGCTACTTATCTGCTGTAAGACCTTGGTGAGCTGTTTCAGTCTTTATATAAAATAGTGATACTAATGATGCTCACCTCAGCAGATTATTTCAGACTTCAACAGAATAACACACGCGTTCATGCTAGGCACAGTGCTGGTGTGAGATATGTGCACACAAAATTTCAGCCATTCATATTATTAGTAAAGAAATAGTAGTAATCAGCCAGATTAAGAAACTTAGGGGAGCGGCCTTCCCAGCTGAGGGCACAGGGAAGGTATCTGCAGTGTGATTTCCTTGACAAGATTTTCAGTGTGGTTCAAATAAATCTGTGTGACTGGAGGAGACGTGACTACAGGAGCTTGTGCAAGCCTGATTCTGAAGGGCTAATGGGTGCTAAGCTTGGAAATGTAGACTCTATTTTTAAAGCTTTGGGGCTGGGCCACTGAGCAGTTTCAAGTGGCAAAGGTCAGATCTGTGGTGTTGCCTGGCTGCACAGTGATGTTTGAAGAGAAAAAGATCAGGATTGGAGAGAGCAGTCAGGAGGCGATGGATCTAACAAATCCAAGAAGAAAAGTTCTGGCCACTCAGATGACTTTTAGTCAGTGTTTGATTCTTCCAGGTCTTGAATATGTCCCTCATCTGCCAACATGGCCATTTATATACCTAATATATAATCTATCTATACATAATCCTAAAAGTAATTCAAGCCAGTTGGGTTGGGTGAGAAGGCCACAGCTCCAGGAGAGCTGGATAGAAAATGGCAGCTTCAGGTTTGTAGGGGTGAATCTCCTACCCACCCTTAACTTGGAGATCATGCATTGCTTAGCTGTTCACTTCTCTGAGCTGTAATCTAGGCCCTACTTCCTCTCCCACTGCCTCCCCTCCCTCACACCACCCGTGTGGCTGCTGATATCCCCTTTGAGTCACCACCACCCCACCCTGTTGGATATCTCGATGGGAGTGAGTTCAGTGCTTTGCCTCTCTATTCCTCAGCTTTCCTGAAAATAAGAAGGTGATGGTCAAACTCTTCTGCAAAGTATGTGAGAGTTATATTTAGACTGTAAAGTAGGATGATTGTATCTTAGACCAGAGGTTGCCAAGCTGCATATTTGCCAAGGGCTCTTTTGTTGAAAAGAAATCCTGTGCGATTGACAGCAGGGTGCTCTCTCCAGCCCTTCCCTTCCAGGTGATACCCAACACTTCTCCATGTTTCTGACAGGACTCCAAGAATAGGGATCCTTTTGAAGAGTCCTTGCTGAAAGCATCTCATGCAGACAACTGCTGAACCTTTGCAATGGCAGCTGAGGAACAGAAACCCAGAGCCAGTGGCAGCATATGGTGCACTGACATCTTAATTTCCTTGTAAGTATCGTTCCATAATCGTTTCTATCCTACTGTACATGAAGTTGCAATGAACTAACTGAGTAAGGAAAATGGCAGGTTACTTGCCTTTCGTTTGTTTTCCATAATAAATGGAATATTTCCTTGAACACTCTAAAGCATTAACATTTCAACTTATTTTTGCTTTTTCTTTCCAGCACCCTGATGGCTTGGAAATGTATTACATAATTATATCTACCATATAACCATTGACGACTCTTTGCATGTCTGTAGTGCTGTTCTCGCTGCCTTTGTTAGGCTGTTGGTTTGAAGAGGCAGTTTGCTTTTTTGTACCATCCTCCCTACTTTTTGCACATAAGTTGTTAAACAGGGAAACAATGCCGGTGAATTAAGTGATGAGGAACTGGGTGAGGATCCAAGCTAACTTGCTTCGTGTTGCCATGTACCAGGCGCTGTTCCAAGACATGTATTAACTTATTTAGTCCACCCACAATTCTCAGAGGCAGTCTATTATCATCATCACATCCACTTCTACAGGTCTGGAAGCTGAGACATAGAGCCATGAAGTGCCTTGTCAAGGGCACCCTAGGTTGGCATGTGCTAAACTGGGCTTTACCCTTGCAGTCTGGCCCTGCACAGGACACCCTTGCAAGTAGGTCTCTGTGTCCAGACCATTCCCTCTTTGTGACGTGACTCTGTCATATTCACCAGCTCTGTTATTATGTTGAACTTTTGCATTAAAAATGGTAGGAGAAGAGTGGCAAAATGGTAATGGCATTGCTATGGTTTTTGAATGCATCCACCAAAACTTGGGTTGAAGTTTAATCCTTATAGTGAGGTATTAAGGAGGGAAACCAGGTGGGACCTGTAAGAGGTGATTGGTTCATGAAGGTTCTGCCCCCATGAATGGATTAATGGATTAATAGATAGAGGATTAATGGGTTATCTTGTGGGTCTGTTATGAAAGCTACTTTGTTGGTGTCTTGTGTGTGCCCCTCTCACTGTGTGTTGCCTTGTGCTGCCCCAGGTCTGCATAGCCCTATCAGCAAGAAGGCCTTTACCATATGCACCCTTTCGACCTTGTACCTCCCTGCCTCCAGAGCCCCGAGTTAAATAAAGCTTCATTGTTTATAAACAGCCAGTTTATGGTATTCAGTTATAACAACAGAAAGCAGACTAGCATCATTAATTTCCAGGCATGATTAAATATTCTTTCTCATCCTTGTTTTAAACCTCCAAATTGTAGCCTTTGCCCAACGATCTATATGGCTTTTGAGCCATTGTTGGGTTTAAAACTCATGAAGGCATAGGCAAGCATGAATTTTAACCAGCAAGTTTAAAATACAACAGCCCCAGGTCTGACCATTTGAAGATCAGGAGTGAGGCTATGTGTAGGCTATTGGGCATTCCTGAAAATTGGGTGCTTTCTGAATTTATTGACCTGAGTACTTAAAATTACAAGTGAGTTTTTAAGTGGGCTTCCACACATCAGGCCCTGAATACTGTGAGGCTTTGCTGGCACACACAGTGGCACTGCCTGGGCACACGCCAGGAGGGAGCTCAAGGCAGCCACAGACATGTGCACATGCTGCCTTTAAAGTGATACATCAAAATAATTGTGCCTGTGCTTTTTGGCCTTAGAACTGCAAACTGAGGCTACTGATGTGGCAAGAGAAAGAGGCTCAGAGGGATATTTTAATTTTAGAAAACAGGCTTCACTGTTCAAGGAATTTCCCTCTTTAATTCATTTAAAAATACAACCTTCCTTTCAAATGAGAAGAAAACTAATATTTCTTAATGCTTGTTCATTGTTAATATTATGCCAATTATTGCATTACTTTTGGCTGATAAATATTCCGAGCATAAATGAAGCCCATAAGATGGATTAATTCTCTGGGAGTACAAACAAAAACTTTCAATATTTTATATCACATAATTAAATGCTGTTTGTTGTTTTTAGAACCAGAACTTGGGACATGCTAATTAATTGCTTCAAGAAGACAGACATGTTTCACGGTTGATATTCAGAAGCAGAATATTTATAAGCCCTGTACAACACTTATGACAAATTACACTTGCAGAATAAATCCTACCTGCAGAAGTCTGGGGGCACCATGCCATAAACATTGATCCTGTCACACAGCTCCAGAGCAATTGTCATTGTGAACCAGCCAGTGCTGAGCCAAGTATTGGAGATCTTCCTGGAAGAAACAGTGATTAAGTCTGCAATCTGGTAAAATAGTCATCAAATCCATTACCACCTTAAATTCTTTCTGGAGCAAAGCTGACCATAATCAGACAGACAGATACAGATGTTCTCCCTCCCTCCCTCCTTCCCTCCTTCCCTCCCTCCCTCTCTCTCTCTCTCCACTTGGTAAATATGCAGAACTTTACCAAATTGATCTCTCTTATCAACAGCACCATACTACATGGTATAATCATAACCGATATTGGCATACTATCACAGTGGGTTCGTGACACTAAAGGATGCTCAGAAGACTTCTATATCACCAAAGAAAATGATTAATGTTTCAGTGTTTACATATGTGTTATCATAACTCAATTTCTTATAAGATGGCAAGGTATCTGTGGGACAATTTTTTTTTTATTAACTAGATTATTTGAGTCTAAGTAGAAATTTTCCTTGTACTCCAAGCTGGCTAGATAATGAAGAATTAATTAATTTTCATTGCTGGAGATGGAATCAAGGGCCTTGTGCATGCAGGTGAGGCAAGTGCTGTACCACTGATTCCATCTCCAGTCATGACAATGAATAATGTGAAAATGAGCAAACATGTGGATAGGTCTATCAATCTATTGATCAATTGATCAATCTCAAGGTCAAAGCTTGTCTTCAAGTAAACAAATTAACACCAATGTTGGGATGGAACATCTTAGGAAAAAACATACTTATTTGGGAAGGGACTAATGACAGAGGAAAAGAACCATATTTTATGGTTCTTTTATTTAACTGCTTATATTTAACTGAGACTTTGCTTTATTTTCTCTTAGAACACTCAAGGCCTTCTGAAAATTTTTATGGGAAGTCAAAAATTAACAAACTAAAGGAATGAATCTGTGTATTCCACATTCATTAATTTGCTGGTCACACAGCTGCATTGAGCAATATGCCAAGCCTAAGGATAACTGTAGAGACCTAACACCAAGGTCTAATTTGACCCTGTGAGATGACTCGGTCTCCCATGCTACGCTGCTATGGATATTAATTTCAATTCTTTGGGGGTTGCCACTTTTGCTTTTTTTCCCAGTGCTTATGGCATGCCTCATTAGCCAGTTTCAAACACCTTATCCCCAAGGTCAGACTGTCTGACTTTGCCCAGCCACAGCACCAGATGTGATGTGAATAACAAAGTTGCAGAAAGGCTTTTCTATTGGCGGTGTGTAGCACCCCTCCCTGAGAAGAAGGAAGACTTGTTAAGCAGTCTGCATTATTTCCATTTCAAATAAGGACCAAAAAAAAATTTAAGGAGTCCTTTGTTTCATCAAATACCTGGCAGGCATTGGTGATTCAGTTATTTCCAAAGGGGGGTTTCAAATTTTTAGTTCTTAAGCCCTTTGCTTAGTTTTTTCTCCTTCATTCCATTCCATCCCATCCTGACCCAGTAATGTTCCAGGAAGTGCATTTAAATGCTCCTAAAGATGGGAACAACACAGGCTTGAATCTTTCCTGTTTCTATCATAACCAGCTGGATGACCTGAGGCAGGCAGTTTGTTGCTGATTTCTGACCCTTGGTTTCTTATCTATAAGGCAGACACGGGAAGCTCTGTCCTCTGGGCTAAATGAGAGAACTAAATGAGAGAACACCCATGAAAAGTGTTCAGTGTAGTGTGTTGATACATCATGATCCCTTCCATCTCTTTTGGTTGCTAGAAGTAAATACTTCAACCATTCCTCTCAGTGCTTTTTAGTATGAAGAAAATCCTTCTAGTACTGTGCTACAGGGGTCTTATGTAGAAGCCATCATCAGTAGTCAGAGCAGCAATTATAAAATTCAGAAGCTTCCAGCCCACAGAAGAATTAACAGTCTCCCTCAGTTCTCACGAGGGCTTATATTCACAAAGACTTGGAGGCTGAAGGAGATTGCATGGAGCACAACTTACTGAACTGTTAAGGGTAAGGAGAGGATGTGACTTCCCTTAAGTTAAAGCCAGTCTTTGCCTCTGTGCTGTGATAATGTCTTGGCCAGTTCTAATCTGGGTGAATAATAACTGGGAGGATGTGGAGCCCTGGAATACAATGACATTCCCTTATATCCACAGCATCTTGATCTAGGAATCACACCTATATCCTCTATGCTTTTAAAGCTACTGGAAGCATCAAAGAGGGCTTTTCCCTGGGGGGTGGAGGCTGTCCTGTAATTTTTGTTCTCTTGTGTGATGTAGTGGAGATCACAAGCCACAGCCTTCAACACAGGAGGATGTGGCTCTACAGAAAAAGGCTTCATGGGTAAAAATGGGGAGAATATAAAGTAGAGGAGTAAAGAAACTACAGTGAGAGTTCTTTAAAGTGCCACTTAAAATTCCCCAGACTTCCTAAATAATAGCCTTTTGGGATCACGTGCTATAGAAATACAACTGCTTTGTACTTTCTTTCTAAAAAGATTTCAACACTTTTTTTTTTCCAACAAAGGAATATCTACTGTTTTTACACTTAATCAGCTGTAATGAAAGAATATGAAGAGCTGTCATGTGCTTATTAGGGAAAATTATCAGATATTCTTTTATATGATGAAGTAACACACTGAGCTGATAATTCTATAGTGCACACTAAATTACAATTAAAGGCCTTTCTGCTCCACCAGAATCTCATTTATAATCTCTATGGAAATATTCTTCCTGCAGTTATTTCATTTATGCTTCCTTTATCTAATTACTATAATATTGGTTCTGAATAATATTTTCCTAATGTACCCTTATTCAATTATAAAGTTATTTTCAAGTACAGTTACTTTCTAATATCAAAGAATACTACTTGGCCATCTATGTCATTTGTCATGCTTCTTAATTGCAGATTGTTCCTGAGCCATTTTTTTCCTCCACTTTTAAGTAGGGTGAGACTTCTATAAATCAAAATCTATTGAATTATCACATTTATTCAAAATATTAGCCTGAAATAAATGTCCTGATCATGAGATTTGCAAATTAGATATTCCATACTTTATGTACCTTCAATACATGCTACTATTTTATTGGGTTTCAAGAAATGCATACACAGAGGAAATATGGTTACACTCTAAATGTTTTGTGCTTCAATTTACAGAAATAGTTTTATTCTGAAAGACTATTTCTGACTTGATTCTTTTAGTTTGGAGCAGGCTGCAGGTTAAGAAAATACACATATAAAAAGATTGAGTCAACAATATGAGCTTTTTGAAAACAGTTTCCTAACCAGGTGCAGTGGTGCACATCTGTAATCCCAGTGACTCGTGAGGCTAAGGAAGGAAGGATCACGAGTTCAAAGCCAGCCTCAGCAACTTAGTGAGGCCCTAAGCAACTTAGTGAGGCCCTAAGCAACTTAGTGAGACCCTGTCTCTAAATGAAAAATGAAAAGAGCTGGAGATGTGGCTCAGTGGTTAAGTGCCCCTAGAATCCAATCCCTGGTACCCCCCCATTTTTTTTTTTTATAAAAACAGTTTCCTAAAGGTAAAAAGCATAAGCTTCTAGAAGAGTCAATACAAATTTATAAGTGTGATCCATCCAACTAGGATTGAGTGGGTCCCAGTAGATGACTGTTTGTGGAAAGGGACTCAGGAGCTTATCTGCAAAGATTTTGCTGGGATGACCAGGGAGGTGGAAGCAGTGAGCAGAAAGCTTTCACAAGTAGGATGTGTCTTGATGTGAGATTGTGTCCTGAAGATCCTAAGTGACAAAGGTTGGGATGGTTGTCTCCAAGTTATCTACTTAACATGATCCCTTAAGAAGATTCAGAGCCATGTATAGTTATCCTCAATGCCCATCTCTGTGGCAGAGTTTCAGGAATAACTTAAATTTAGCAAATAGCCATTCAACAAAAAAGAGAGAAGTGTTTTCTAATGAAGAGTTTCTACTTATTTTGAAATTTCCACAGTCTAGCTATTGTGAATTGTGCCGCTATGATCATTGATGTGGCAGTATCCCTATAGTACGCTCTTTTAAGATCCTCAGGGAATAGTCCGAGAAGGGCGATAGCTGGGTCAAATGGTGGATCCATTCCCAGTTTTCCCAGGAATCTCCATACTGCTTTCCAAATTGGCCTCACCAATTTGCAGTCCCACCAGCAATGTACAAGTGTACCCTTTTCCCCACATCCTCGACAACACTTATTGTTGTTTGACTTCATAATGGCTGCCAATCTTACTGGAGTGAGATGGTATCTTAGGGTGGTTTTGATTTGCATTTCTCTGACTGCTAGAGATGGTGAGCATTTTTTCATGTACTTGTTGATTGATTGTATGTCCTCCTCTGAGAAGTGTCTGTTCAGGTCCTTGGCCCATTTGTTGATTGGGTTATTTGTTATCTTATTGTTTAATTTTTTGAGTTCTGAAATTTCCAACCAGTAAAATCAAGGCGTACACACATAGTCCCCTCCTTCTTCATCTCTTATAAAATACTTTCTTGATTAAATAACTCATTCACACGAGTAGAAGTCTCTCTTATTTGTAGGTATTAAAGGGATTTACATGACTGGGTTTTGTGGCTACTTGGAATGATGGTCAGGTCTAACCACGGGGCTGCTGGGCCTTCCTAGAAGGGGGCCATGTGGTTACTAGCAGCAGTGCCTCTCCACTCTCCCCTGGACCCCAGGCCTACCCTGCCAGTGCCATCCCTCACACCATCACAAGGCTTCCAGGATTTACAAAGGTAGCTCTTCCACACAAATAGTTTGGGGATGGTGTACTTTAGTCTTTAAGAATGTTCTCCAATAATATGCTGACTATGCAGACAAATAATAGATTCAGTAATTTATATTCTTTATTTCACTTATCTCTGTATTTTTAGGATAAGAAACTGATTCAACAACAGTTTTTATAAGAGTAAATCACATCTCTAAATGTATATTAACCACACAAGTACATGTTTTAGAATTAAGGAATCACGGAAATTTAATCATTAGACCAGTCCAGGACTGATAGTTACTTTCACTTGTAAGTTCACTCAGTCTCTAAAATATTTGATAACATGTCCAAGGCCATGTGATAACACCTGACATCCAACCCATAGCTGTAAGTTTGAGCCACACTGCACTGGAGTCCTAGGTGACTCTCTGTCTTTTGTTCCATTTAGATCTGGCTGGTTGGTGACACGTCATCTCTTGACCTTGTCTTGTGCTCCATTCCTCAGCCCTCCTGAGTGCAGCCACAGGGAGGCTTTTCTCCAACCCCCTTCCTGTTCTCTCAACTGATGGGGGGAGGCTCCCCCCATCCCAGCTCCTTCCTTCCTTGGATAAATCCTGATTGGTCTGGGTCTCAGCCTAAGTATACCTTTTTCAGAAAGATTTCCCTCAGTAATTTAAAAAATTTTCAATCTATAGTGAGAAATACATTTTATGTCATGATTGAAAATACATACATATGTGCATAAAATATGTACATATGTGTATATAAATGTAAATGTTTCATTTTGTTTATTTTTCTAAAGTAGTTTTTCTTTTTGCAGTACTGGGGATTGGACCCAAGAGTTTTCTACCTTTGAGCCATACCCCACCAGCCCTTTTTATTTTTTATTTTGAGATAGGACTCTCTACATTGTTGAGTCTGACCTTGAACTTGTCCTACTGTCTCAGCCTCCAGATTCTCTGGGATAAGAGGTATGGCCACCATGCCAGGCTCCACTGGTTTTTAGTATACTATTTCAACTAATATATTTTCAGTTTTAATTAACATTTTAGAAAACACTGCCCTAGTCCATAGTGTGTCTCCTGCTTTACATGTTACAGCATCATTTTCTTTCCCTCACATGACCCTCAGCACACCGGCCACTGCTTGGGGAGTGTCTAAGACTTTATATTCTTGGAGGGCAGGGTCTTGATTTTGAATGCATCCCCAGTGGCAGGTGTAATGCTGAGCAAGTAGTAGGTACTCAATAAATATCAGTTGGCTGAGTAAAATTTTGCTTTTGAAAGGGAAAAACAAAACCATACACTTATTTTTGATAAATGTTCTTATAAGTAAAGCAAAATACAATAATGAAATATTGCATTTTTTTTACTAATATTGGTTACAGCTTTTCAGCCTTTTCCTCAAAATAGGGATTTGGCCCTAAATTATCCGTACAGTGGTCTCAATGCTTCATTTCACTATGCTTTATAAATTCAGCTTGAGCATCCCAGTCTCCAGGAGAACCCTAAGGATGAGTTGTCTCAATGACGTGAGCAGTGGGGCCCACGACACAGGCCCTTAGCAAAAACTTTGCCTCTGGTGAATCAGTCAACACTGAGATGCTCCATCCCTGCACCCTTGGCCTCCCTCCACCTGAGCCTCTGTACCTGTCTTTGCCAGTCTCCTGCTTGAACAGCTCATCGAAATGCAACATCTTATGGCGTGTGATCATGAAGGCTTTTAGCCGGGGCAACACCTGGCTCAGGAGCTGCAGATTGTTGTACACCTGTCCCTTGCCATCTCGCCTCATGTAGCTGCTGGGGCCCCAGAAGATGAACACGGTGCCCTGGCTCACGTTGAGCAGGTCGTGGCGGTTGCGGAGGATCCTCTGGATGCTGGAATGAGCGATGACCCTCAGGCTGGTGCGATTGCCCACATCACGCCCATAGCCACGGGTGGGGGCGTCATTCATGCGGATGACACACTCTGTCTGGTCAATCTGGGGGCCTTGTCGACTGTGCAGCAGATGCCCTGAGCTGGTCACCAGGGCACAGTCTCTGCAGTGCATTTTCAGGGGCTGGAAGCAGGGGAGAGAAGGACACTGTCAGGATGAAGGGCAAAGGACATAACCTTCAGTTGCTACCAGCAGGTTACTTTCCTGCCGCAGGGTCAGGGGGTTCCAACTCCCTTCTCTCTCCTACGCCAGATTATATCCCATCTGCTGTGAATTCATGGATCCTTACGTTCTCTTCTGAACTGGTGAAAGGGAAGTTTGGACAAGAGAGAAGGAGCTGGCACACTGATCTGCTAAACATTGGCTAGAGGCTTTCCTGATGTTAAATAACCACATTGACACGTTTACTCAGTGAGGCTGCCATCATGGTGATTTTACAGAGGAGGGTAACTCAAGCTTAGAGAAGTTAAGAAATTTTCCCAAAGACGAGTAACAAAGGCAAACTCTCAAAACTAGGTTTTTCTGAATTCAAAGTTACCCCCAGGCAGAAGAGAAGACCATACTGCAAATTGCTCTGACACTGGTTTTGATGCTGTTATTGAAAAATTATGTGTTTACTAATATTCCTGGATGCGGTACAAACATATTTACTCTAAATAAACATCATATAGGAATCACATGAAGATGTCATGCAGGTTGTAGCCCCTTCAGTGCCATAATTTTGAAATGACAATTAAGATCATTAGTCTCACTTAAATGGCAGGGGAGCAGAGAGGGAAACTGAATTGGTCCGTTTTTCACAAATGAAAGGAAAGTCTAAATTCAGAGCTGCAGATCTCATCCAGGAATTGCAGAGCCTGGGTTCTTCTCTCATCTGCAGTCACCTTGTACCCTGGGAGGTCCTGGCTGCAGTGCCCACCAGCGACAACTCCAATAGCAGTGCTCAGTTCAACATCCTGAACTAGTGATTTGCTTTCTGAACACCTATGTTCTAAGAAATTAAACATTCCCCTTGTTCATCTTTAATGAGAACTATCTCTTAGTTGCTTTTAGAAGATAATGAAATTAGATCCTGAGGCCAAGGCCAATAAGTGCAAAAGAAAACAATCAAGATGCTCCGAAGGAAAGCTGCATTGTTGGTTTTCACCCAGAGTCTGCCCTTCTAACTTCTCTAGCTTTGAGAAAGACACACTAGATGCACAGGTTTGGGAAATCAGACTCAACTTAGTGCCACATATATTCAGTCTTGTATTTACTCTGGAAGTTTCCCAGAGCCATGGCTCTGACTTCAGAACCTGAATGAGAGCACCTGAGGGCAGTTGCCTTCCCTTATCGCATAAGACCCAAGAACACAGGTTCTTGGCTGTGGCAGGATGGGTCCAGCTTTTTTCTACCACCTACTAGCTGTGAAGCCTTGGTAAATCACTAATCTCCATAAACCTGTTTCTTCATCTCTAACTGAGGAAAACAGCCCACTCTACCTGGGTAGAATTAGCAAAAGTAGATACCTAGAGTGTTAGATTGAGTCATTTGATTGCCAATATTTGATCTGCAAAATTAGCAATTGCATGTGGTTGAATCCAATCCTTAGCATAGGATTTGGCACAGTGATCATTCAATAAATGACAGGGGCTCTTAGAATTAGCTAGTGTGGAGCACATTGTAAGTACTCACTAAATCAGTGCTGAGCACTTCGGGTTTGTAATTGACACATGGGCTTGTGAAAGGGAGAGTCAACCATTGCAAATTCTCATCATTCATACAACATCCAATTGCTCTGAGATGACAGGCACTGTGCTAGGCAATCTGAATGCAAAGATAGGGAGGAGAAAATCCTTGAAAGCTTGCATTTTTGTGAGGGACGGTGGGTCAGTGAGAGTGCATTAATGTGTGACAGGGGACGAGGAGGGGGCTCTGCTGGAAGTATGAGTGATAGGGTTGTTTAGAGCACAGCAAAGCTGAGAGTATAAAGAGTCAAGTAGCTAATATTTATTGGGTGCTTTCCACATGCCAGGCTGTTCTGAGCTTTTTATACAGTATATTAATCCTTCAAGTAATTTTATAAGGTAGATATTATATTATCACTTCTACTTTACAAATGAGAATATCAAAGGATAAAAATGTAAAGAAACTTGCTCAAGATCATACAATTAGGAAATGGGAGAATTGGGATTAGAACTCAGGAAATCTGACTTAACAGCCAATGGGACCCAGCATTGTATCACTGCAGTGCAGTAGAATAAATAGAGAGTCACAGGATGTTTGCTTGGCTCATTGCCTACCTTCTTTCCTCCCTCCCAGAAACCCAGTTATATGGATGCAGTAAGTGAAAAAAGTCTTCTATCCAATACCTGCACTCTTTGGAGGATCATTCACAGTAGACTTGTCCAGGTAGACCCTTAAGGCCATGATGGCAAAACATGGTTAAGGCCTGACTCGCCTCTTGAGGAAAAGCCACATTCCAGTTGCCCAGAAAGTGGCCTCTGTTCTTCTCAGGAAACTGCTGGAACATGGAGTCCTGAATCCCTTAGGTGAACTGCTGGGGTGGGGGCAATTTCAGTGGCCAAAGGATGAGGAAATACTTCACTCTCCTCTTCCTCATTTTACCTGCCATTCTGTACACGAATAATGATGAGGGAGAGTTCAGTGGTGATTTATTCAATGATAGTGTTCCTACTATGTGCCAGACACTGAACTTGGAGCTACAGATAAAATGATCAATGAGAGCGCACAATCCACGGGGAGGGTGCTCCCAGACGAACAATTACCTCACAGTGACCGCACAGTGAGCACCATAACTAATCAGGCACAAGGGGCCACGGGATCAAAGATAAGGGAACATTTGAGCCTGTCCCAAAGAACCAAGTAGTGGGAGCATGACAGAAGGAATCCTGCCATGGAAATTAACACAGGAAGCAATTTTAAAAGGGAGAGAGCAGTCGATGTTGTCATAAGCCATGGTAGGACAAGACTTCAGAAGTGTTTTTGGATTTGATGACTTTGACTGAAACAGTCTCAGTTAACAGAGGTGACAGTCTGACTGTGGTTAGAAGTGAGGAGTAGAGGCTGAAACCTGTCTTTCAGGGCAGGCTAGGTTTCCTGACCATGCCACACTCTGTGATTACCAGATGCCACCAGAGCACATTGCAGCTGACCTGATCCCAGACAGCCCTTCCCCATCTGTCCTGCCCACTGGCCTGAGCTATGTATTACCAATTGCCTTGGACACTGACACTCATTCTTTGAGTTGTGCAGATGCACCAAACAATGCAGAAAGACTGAAGTCTGAATTACGCCTTAAGTGCCTTTTGGTGAGTGGTGCCAATAAAATGACAGTAGCTGTTCTAAACCTAATGTTTTACTCCCAGCAGCTGAGAAGAGCATGTACCCAAGGCAGAACAACTTCCAAAGGAGGAAATGAAATCTATTTTCTGCATTCAGAGGGAATAACGATGTCTTGGAAGCAGAATGACTAAAAATCATACAAACTGTGTGACCTTTTTCTTAGGATGTGTTCTCAGAGACAGCCATATTCCTCCATGGCTAAGTCCCCTTAGGAGCCTTAGTGTCTTAATGGCTCGAGTGAAAATATTTATGCCATGGTGAGTCAGGATTCTTGAAGTAATGCTTACATGTTCCTTCCTTAAGTACTAGGATGCTGGGCTGACCAATCACTGAGTAGAGCATGGGAAGGTGAACCCTCGAGGCTCTGCTGTCAGCCTAGGCGATGAAGCGTCACTGAGGAGGGCACAGGAGGTAGGTGACCCCCAATGGATTCTCTGCCTAATAAGACCTTCTCTTTGGCTTCTCCCTCATAGTATTTAACCTCCCAGATCCTGTGGGACATTTTCCTTAAAGTCCCATTTGGTGAGGAACTTCATCCATTGGTAGAAAACAAAGTCACCCATATTAGGTCACTCCAATCTTGGTAATCTCTTTTCCATCCTGACTCATAAAAATCATTTTAGTAATACTGAATAGACAGAAGGTGGATAAATGAGGGAATGAAAACCAGCCTCTTATCCTCTCTGTTTTCTGAGAAAACTGAGTCATAAAATGTAGACATAATGTGATGCCCTAACAAATAGTTAGTCCATCCGCCTAGTCTTTAGTAATGATGCCATGGGGGTGGGGGGGGAGGAGTGGGTCATGGAAACTTCTGTCTGCAGAGGAGGCTGTGGCCAGTTGCCTCAGGCAGCCTCTCAGCCCAGGGAGCCATAATGGTCAGATCTCAGGGCACTGCCTGGAATTAATGGCTGGCTGGGAAAATGGCCCAGGACACAGTAAGGGCCATTAAGCCCAGCCAGTTATTAATCCCCAGTAAGAGCTTGATGCCAAGGTCATTAGAGCTGTTGTGAGGTGAAAAATGCCCAGAAAAACCCACGGCTCATGGAGGAGTTACCCGTTCTCCAGGCCACTGGGCCTCTGAGCTGCAGTCCAGGCCTCCACAAGCGGGTGAGTGTGCAGTAAGCAGTCTGTCCAAGGCAGGCAATGGTCCTCCAGAGGGAGTGTGGACACACAGACACAGGTACATGCACATGCAGAACTTATAATTTAATTTTTATTATCCCTTTTTACATTTTGATAATTTGTAAGCACTTGCCATCATCCTAGAACCTATGACAGTGTCTAAAAACTTACAGCAAGGTTCATGAATGTTTTAGGATACTTTAGAATGTGTGAATGAGTCTCTCTGCCTTCGTTACCACATCTTCCTGCCTAAAATAAGACAAAACAAAACCCCAAACCGAGCACAAAAACAAATCTTCAAACTCAGGGAATAGAAAAGCATGGCAACTTTCATTACAACTAACCCCTTTGGGTTGCAGTGACAGGAGTAATCCCTTTTTGGGGAAACATACTCAGGAAATCAAGGTCTGATTTCTGCCACATCCCGAGAAGCCAAAGCAGCTGGAATTCTCTCTGTGACCCAGCTGATGTCTAAGAAGCCTTTCTTAAGAGACTAGACCAGACCAAGTCAAATTAAACTTGACACCTAAAACACTTGGTGATGTCCTTGCAAACATTTGCAGCACAGCAATATTAGACTTCACTTTATAAAATTCTGATTTATTTGGCAGAGGGAAAGGAACCTCAGCACATAATGCCCATTAGCTCAGTAA